ACGACTATTCTTTATGGTTGGTGGGGCTGATGGGAATTGTGGGCACAATATTTTAAGGGCCAAAGATTTACCAGCCCCTTTTAGAATAAAATCTGCTTAAAGAGGCTTCTGCTTTAGAGAGGGAAGGGTGCTCTTTTTTTGGGTACTCACAACTTCTTTGCCAGCTGCTTTTTCCTAACTTTAGGGTCACAGGAGTATGTTAGCTAAAGAGGTTATGGGAGGGGGCAACTGGGGATGAGCAGTAAAAACATCTTGTTACCAAAATATTGAGCACTTCCTGCTGCTCTTGGCACATGTTTGCAGGTATTCCAGACAGAAGGTGTCCAAGCACACTGACTAGCAAGAACTTTGAGATTGTGTTGTTAACACAGCAAGCAAAGATCAACTTGAATGCACATATTATTTAATCACAAATAGGATGGATGGATGGATGGATGGATGGATGGATGGATGGATGGATGGATGGATGGATGGATGGATGGATGGATGGATGGGTGGGTGGGTGGATGTGTGGATGCGTGGATGGTTGTTTTGTTTTTTTTGCATTTCTATCATGCTTGAGAGTTTTCCCTCTGATTATTGTAAACAGAATGGGCAGATTGCTGGGATAGGAATTTATGTATCCCTTTTGGTTTAACTGTTCACAGACTGGCTTTGAAGATGACGAGGAGCTCATAGAGGAATGTCTCGTGGCCTATGCTGACAGCAGTTCCAGCTTGCAGCTGAAATTGCATGAAGAAGTCAGGGTTAATCTTGAAGAGCGTTATGAGTGGATCAGTGTCCCACCACCTCCGTTAGGTGAAAGTGATCCTGCAGATATTATCCATGATTTTCAGCAGGTAAGGAATGAGAAATGGTTGCAAATACTGTGACAGCTGAAGAAGAAAGGGTGAACCATGAAGGTTTCAGTAGCTGTGGGTAAAGTGGGGTGCAAAACCAGTTTTTGATGCAAAATGCTGTTAATGATAGATATAATTCAAGATTTGCAGGAAGAATTAAATAATAAACTTTACCGACATTGTGAAATTTAGTATTAGTAGTAGTAGACTCCATAATAGTTCTGCACCAATATAGCAATATAAAACCTTTAAAATATAGGATCTGAGATAAAAATCAATAACACGCTATTGCAGCTCAGTACTTGGCAAAGGAGTGAACTAAGAACTTAAGCCCAATGCCTACATTTGAGAAAAATGGCCAGGTGTTGGCTTGACATCTTTAGTACAAGAGGAATAAAACATGAGGAACATTTTCTAAGAAGTGACTCCCTTGCTTTCATTCCCAAGTAGTACAGTCAAAGAAAATCACACAATGCCAATCAGAGGTTAGCACTTGCTTTTCCAGTCTTCAGTTTTACCAAACCATATTCAGGGATGCAGAGAATGGCCTTCACACAGCTAGAGCTCTGATTATCTCAAAACCTGATGGAGGAGCAACTTTTTCCACTCAAGAAGAAAGGTGGGATAATGAATGAATGAAGAAATGAAAGTTCTGGAGCAAAATTGTGTTTGCCTTGCTCTGGAGGACTGCAAAATGTTCTCCTGCTATTAGGTGTGGTGGCGAGGGTGGGGAGAGAGAGAGAATTGTTACTTTAGAACAGTTGAGAGAAATTTTGTAGAATCTGGGACTATTTTCACCCTTCTCTGGAATTTGAAAAGCCATGCTTCTCAACACCCAGAAGTTGAACAGAAGTGACCACACTTGGTATATGGTGATCAGAGGCTCACTTCTGATTTTAAAAAAGAAAGATGTTTTGGGACTAAAACTGGAGAATCACTCCTCCTCAAATAGTATTTAAATAGGTCTGGAGATTTTGGGGGAAAGTAGACATTTTTGCTCTACAATTTTCTGTCTAGTATGTGACATTTTGGGAGTGGTAATCTGGGGCCTAACCTGAGATGGCACTACATATGGTCACACTGTGCCCAACCCATGTCTTGTAGCATCCCTCTCCAGCGTAGGTCCTTTTAGATGTGATGGACGATAACTCCCACCTATCCTAGCTGGCTTGGCCATTAGCCAGCAACTGTGATGGAGTTGTGTTGCAAAGCATACAACTGTGAGGGTTCGATTTTTGACTCCCTATTTGGTTCAAAGAAATCAGTCGATTTTGCTGCTTCAAAACAGTTGAAAGATTTATTGGTGTATTTAACAATAAACAAGTGTCTGGAACATGATTATGAGTCTTTTCGCCTTCTGTCAACGGGTCCGGAAGGGGTTTCCAATCTTCAAACAGGAATGGGTTTCCAAAACTGTAGTTCCATGGTCCCGGTAAATCACGGTGTGCCCTGGCAGGCCTTCTAGCAAGGATACAGTCTTAAACTATAGTTCCATGGTCCCGGTAAATCACCGGGGACCCAGTCTCTTACAGTGTGCCCTGGCAGTCCTTCCACCAAGGACACAGTCTCCTCATCCAGGTCATCATCCCACAGGATCCATCCATCGGGGGCTCAGCTCTCCCAGGATCCTCCCTGTAGCGCCTTCTCTTCATCTCCCTTACCCTCCATTCCAATCTTTCTCTCCTTTCTCACTCTACTCGTTCTTTCTCCTCTCTCAGTCTCCTCCTCCATTTTTTCACTGGCAGTCCTTCCACCAAGGACACAGTCTCCTCATCCAGGTCATCATCCCACAGGATCCATCCATCGGGGGCTCAGCTCTCCCAGGATCCTCCCTGTAGCGCCTTCTCTTCATCTCCCTTACCCTCCATTCCAATCTTTCTCTCCTTTCTCACTCTACTCGTTCTTTCTCCTCTCTCAGTCTCCTCCTCCACTGTTTCACCTCGGCCTCTCCCCAGTAAGAGGGTCTAGGTGGAATCTCCACTCTCTTATAAACTGTTTCCTCCTTTGGAACTCTTAATCTCTCCCATAATCCAGTCCAGGGATCCTGCATCCACAACCATTCTCAACTGGTTGGTAACTGCTCCTCCTCCTCCTCTATCTCCCCTGTTCCTGCTTCAAACTCCACCCTCTTTTTCCTCTCTCTTTTCCCACCCTTTTTCCCTGAACCTCCCCCATCATTACTTTCTGCATGTCTTCCATCAATTCCTCTATCTACCGTATGTCTCCTGCAGAGGTTTCCCTATAGGCTCTGGTGCGGGTTTGGGGTCCGCTTCCTTAGTTTTGCTGTTGAGAAGGGATGGTTCTCCAGCTAGTGGGGTATCCCTCTCGCCCTCTGTCTTACATCCTGGTTGCAGACAACTATCTTAGGCTCTGTTGATTGCATGAGAACAAGTTGTGCTTGCATCTATTTGGTGATTATGTCACCTTCCAATGGCTGTTAAGCTACTCCTTATGACCACTGTTAGGATCATCACCATGCTCGCAACTTTTGCCTTTTCATTCTGCTTAAGTTTCCACCCTCCTGTCTAGGTATGTGTATAAATGTCTGCTTGCTACATAGGATGATGATGCGGGCTGCAGATAAAACATGTTAGTCTTGGAGGTGTCACAAGGCATTTTCTTGCCTTTGCTGCAACAGAATAAAATAGGCACTGCACTAGAAATTTCTGTATTAGTCCAGAAAGAAAGAGAGAGGGAAAACATTTAGCCTGGTGTGCAGCCACCCACTTCTGGTGTGCTGTCACTAACTTCCAGATGGAATACAGCTCTCAATATATTAAAAAGTTTCAAATGCATCAAATGTGAATAACTATTTACATGAATGAATCAGATGCTGAGAGCCACTGACTCAACTTAGGGCTAAAGGATCCAGCCCCAGATCTAACTACTAAGTTAATGGCTGTGTTTTGATCCCATTCTTCTGGGTTTCTTTTCAGAGACTGACTGCCTATTATGATCTGCTCCTGGATAAGTGCTTTGTCATTGAGTTGAACACCACCATTGTTATGCCACCTCAAGATCTCTGGGAGCTGTTGGTTAATGTAAAGGTACACAAATAATGCTTTTTATTCCTGTTTGTTTGTTTGTTTGTTTAAATTACGTTCTTATGATTTGCCTTTTGTGGCCCCAAAACAGCCTTCTCTGGAACAGAAACAGCAATGACTCTGTCTGCCAAAAGAAATATCTTTGTCTATGTTTACAAGGTGATTTCATGCCATTTTTCAGAGAAGGTATATACATCTATTCATGGAGAAAACTAACCCTTTGTACTTTGACAAAAGAACATCTTCAATCTGATAAGTTAGTGTTCCAAGAGTAGCTGACATTTGGGTTTTCCTCCTTGTTAATGGTATTGGCATCTACAAATACTATCAGCAATAAAACATTTTATTATATCCTCAAGAGCCAGTTATGTGTAATGCAGACCTGGGCAAAGTGCCGCCCGAGGGCCACATATGGCCTGCAAGCCACTCCTGTCAGGCCCACAGACAGTTTTGAACATCAAAACCATTTTTCATGTGGCCCCCCTATAGAAATTAATTGCCTACCCCTAGTGTAATGGATAGAGAACTGGACTAGGACTCAGGAGACCTGGATTCAGATCTCCCCTTGGCCAAGGAAACACATTGGGAGATGGCAATGATAAAATTGCTCCTGGAATATTGCACTTACAGTACCTTGAAAACCCTATTGAAGCCATCATAAGTTGGATGTGACTTGATGGCACATTACACACCCATTATATCCTCGGCTTCTAATAGTGGTGCTCCTGTTTAGGATTCCTACCAATCCTAACCTCATCCAGGATTGCCTATTCTAGTCCACTCTCCATTTCTCAGTTTTCTCCTGTTGTCAGTTTCCTATTCGATGTTTGCAATTCCGTGCAAACAATGCTTGGTTTTCACTTGGCTATTGGAAGAGGGTAAGAGTAAATTTTAAAAATTGTATTGGGAAATCTTCTTATGCCTTCATTTCTTAGTAGCTTGATTTTGACTCCATTACTTTTGTTCCTCATATCTCAGTCTGCCATCAGCCACATCTTCAAATGCCAGAAACATGATCCCTCCACCTTGCCTTTGTTACATAATGAGGACTGCCAATAATTGTATAGTCTAAAGTTTGCAAAACTGTCTGAGATTCTATAGAGCAGCTGCTAGACACAGTAGACAATACTAGTCTAGATCAGCCATTTCCAACTGGGGGTGGGGCATATGACCCCCTGGGGGTCTCTGGCACATTTGAAAGGGGAGACAGACTGGAAACAATTCTTCACTGAGCACTTTAGAAAGTTTGTTATGAGGCTTATATAGTCTTGATTCAGTCTATATTTCTTTCACATTGTGTTTATGCCATGGCAAAAAAAGAAGTTGAGATTGGTGGTCTAGATCAGCGGTCCCCAACCTTTTTAACTCCGTGGACCAGTTGAGGAAGGCGGGGCTCATGTGCATGTGCGGACTGGAAACAATTCTTCACTGAGCACTTTAGAAAGTTTGTTATGAGGCTTATATAGTCTTGATTCAGTCTATATTTCTTTCACATTGTGTTTATGCCATGGCAAAAAAAGAAGTTGAGATTGGTGGTCTAGATCAGCGGTCCCCAACCTTTTTAACTCCGTGGACCAGTTGAGGAAGGCGGGGCTCATGTGCATGTGCGAAGGAGTGGGCAGTCCCCAACCTTTTTAACTCCATGGACTAGTTGAGGAAAGTGGGGCACCCTCCATTCTCATGTGCATGTGCAAAGGAGTGGGTGCTCTCTCATGTGGGTGCGTGCTTGTGCGCATGTGCGAAGAAGCGGGAGGGTGTGCAAATGGCACTTGGTATTCGGGGGCACTCATGTGCATGCGCTAAGGGGTGGGGGAATGCTTGCGTGGGCGCAGCCTTGCACAGGTGCAAAGAGACTGTGTGGAGGGTGGGGAATGCGGGTGGGGGTGGGGGAAAAGGTCTGTCTTCACATCCCGATCCAGCTCAGGCCATGGACCGGCACCAGGCTGTGGACTGGGGGTTGGGGATCTCTGGTCTAGATGGATGTGCCTCATTGTGGACCGGGGGTTGGGGATCTCTGGTCTAAGATGGAAGTGCCTCATAAGACAATTTCCACAGATCCTGAAAGGTCTTTCTCCAAGATGAACACATCACATGAGGAGATGGATAACTCATCTACCCTGCTTCCAGACTATATGTGGCTTTAAAAGTCAGTAACAATACATTGAAATGGAGTAGGAGCCAATAAAGCTGGCCAAAGCTCTGGCAGGCTATGCTCACAAGTACCCATGTTTTCCCCTCATCCACAATCTGGCTGGCTCGATTCTAGCTTTCAAGACATAAAGTTCTGTCTAAAGAAGCCAAAAATGAAACAAAACCCAAAACTTTACTATGGTTAGGTCAGGTCCTTCAGCCTTCCACTTTAAGATTCAGCTGAGAAAATCTGTAATCATACAAACTGTGCTAGTATACACAACTTGTATACCACCTTGGTTGTTTTTTTATAGAAAGACAGTATATGTGCTCAAAATCAAGTAGATGAATTTATTCTAAAGAGTGAAAGTAATGCTCACTGGTCCCTGTGGAATCAAAGCCCCATGGAATTATTTCAGTGAGTTGTAAATTCTGTGATTTCAGAAAGAGGTATACCTGCCACAGACCTACCTAATCGAGGAGGAGACAGTAGTGATGGAGCAAGTCACTGATATGAATCAGCTCGGTTCCGTCATATATCACCTGTGCCAAGGCAAAGAGACCTACGCGCTGAAGCACAGATCTGCAAGGAGGCGTAAGAGGATCCTCAACATTCTTGTCTTTGCTATTTTTTGTGCTGTACTCTTCATATCTGTTGAGAATTTAGAGCAGGTCTTAGCCCTATTACATTGTTAAGGAAGCACGTGGAGTCCACACTGAGTGGAACACATGAACTCTAATCCTCCATTGTCATATTGAATGTAGAAATCTGGTTGTCCGACATGAGGGAAGCTGCTGTCCCTGAGTAGCCTCTCCAGATGAGGCAAAATCCCTCAGAACTAGTGTGGTGTGGTGTGTGGAGAGGGAGAGGAGAAGCTCCCCTTGGTTCATCATCCTCTCCTTCTTCAGACTATTAGTGTACTCCTCTCATCGTGTATGGTCTCCACATGCTTCCTTAACAACTAACTAGGGTGGTTAATTCTGCAGCAGTGTAGTAGATTATTATATGTTGACAGGAAACAACTGTTCTGGAAGGGTATTCGCAGCATTTTAAAATTGGCTACTCTTCTGTTTCCTAGTTTAATTCCAGAGGGGAAGAAAGTAGCTTGCAAAGTGCCTTTAGTTAGCGCTGGTTGTTTTCAAATTACTTTTGTCTTCAATTTTAAGTACCTTTCATTTGAAGTAAAAAGAGATGGTGAATGGGTGAGAGTTGATGGTCAGCAGCCAAACTTCTAAAGCTGGGGTGGGGGAAAAACCTACTCTGCAAATAGGCATGAATTGAAGTGCTTTATGAGACATTTTAATATTAAAGCCTGAAACTATTTATGATGATGATAATGATTTTATTTATTTGATGGTCCACCATTTTTCAGATTTTTTTTCTTGTAACAAGCACTATGTTGTTTTTATTATACATTGTTTTGACAATGTGTTCTGACTCTAATCTTGTGAATCATTTGGAATTAGCTTTTGATGTTTGTTTTTCAATAACGACACTGTTAAATGCCGCTAGTAGCAAGATACTGCAATGCTTTCTGTTTTGAGTCATCTGTTACCACATTCTTCAGAATTTAGTTGGTAGCACAACAACATTTTTACCACCCCCGCCTTCCTTCTGCAGTGTTCCAAGAGATATCTAACTTAATCTTGCTTTTTTGCTGGTTCCTTTTCTCCTTCAGATATCCATCGAAGAGCTGCTGAGAAGTGCCATCAGATCCGCCATTTTGCAAATACTTTTGTGGTCAGCACAGCCATTTGCCAGAAATTGTGAGAAGCCCTCTTCAGACATAATCCTGCCAGTGCTTTGCTTTGAAATGTCCACAGCTCTTGCTTTCTTCTTGAGATAGAATTGGGCTTTCTTTTCATCCTGCTCTCATTGTTTGTACATTACTAACTTCTCAGATTTCTTGTGGTTGATCACTGGTACTTTGCTGTCTTTGAACTGCATTTTTGAAAGATACATTTACATTTCTTTGGGCTCATATTTAACCTCCAAATGTAAAGAAACATTTTTGTTTGCGAAAACTGGTATAGTAATCCCTTGGAGTATTCACAGCTGCTGCTCTTTGAAAAGTGTAGAGATAAAAACAATGAGAAAAGAAAAGAAAAGTTACAAGAAGAGTCTATAGATATCTCACTAGAGCTGCAACCTTCTTGTGTGGGAATCTCCTCAGAATAGAAAAGTGACTAGAAATCTATTGTAAAATTAGTTTCTAAAGGGAAGAGAAAGATGCAGCCAGATAACTGTACAGACCCCTAAAGATAAATATATGTGAGGCTGGTTTATTTGACAAAACCACAGATGTAGCCTTTGTTGTGGTAGGTTATGATAGTGTTGATTTCTCTAAAACAGGTAACAATCCCATGATATGTCTGCATGCCATACTGATCAACATACCTTAGTTCCTAACTGCATTTTCAGCAAAAATAATGGGTCAAAACAGAGTAGCAGTTGATTTTGTAATGTTCCTTTGAAAACATCTCTGCCTGCACTCGTAAATCATGGTAATAAGACATTCCACTTGCTTTTGCACGGTTGCTCTCTGCTGCTCCAGATGTCAGCTGTCTTGGCCTCTGCCAGATGTGCGGTTGTAGCCCAAGTTGGAGAAGGATTAGGCAAGCATTTTGGCAAGACAAAGCAGAACATGGCGAAGACCAAGTGTCACCAGTACTATGGATTGCTCCATATGTAACACAAGCTAGAAATTTGTATGAACAAACTCATTTGTTACATAACAATAGATGGACCACCAAGCTGAACCCTGTGTAGGAGGACTTCAGCTGACTCTGGATGTTTAGCTTCACCTCCACTAGAATTAGTGTTTTGTCTTTCCTGAGGGTGACTCTGTGGCTCTACCCGTGTTGTTGGGGACATCATAGCTTCCCAAGCAGATAGAGAGTCCTGGGCTCAGAGGATTGACAGAATAAATGCTTCAAACCAGAAAAGTGAGAGCAAGGCAGACCCCGACTCTAGAGGACATTTGGAATATGGAGGTGAGGTCACTCTAGAGCAGCACAGAGAGGAATTTCCTCTCACTCTTTCTTCAAGGCCTGTTTCTCTAACCATATTCTAACCAGTCATCTCCTTTCCATTACAGTATTTTAATTAGAACAAACATTTTTGTTACTGTGGTTATTAGAATGAACATAACGTTCATTTGTCCCTTTCCTGCTAGTGAAACGGGCTATTTCTCTTTTTTCGCTTTTCTCCCCCACCCCCCACACATTGGCTAGATATTGAGTATGTGCCTTTCCCCCAAATTGCTCAGTTATTGGTTTTTACATTAGTATTTCAGAAAATCAGTTAGCATTCATTTTCAGCAGGTGGCTATACCTGAATGACTAGCAGATGTAGCAGCCTGGTTGAGACTTTTCTTTTCTCTTCCCCCATCTTGCTTGACAAGGTCAGTAGGCCTGACATTTTGAGGAGGATCCCATGGAAAACTTAGCACACATAGCCAAGCGCTTAACAGTACTGAAAGGGATCTTTGTGCTGCATTTCCAACCTTTTCTGTTTCTTCCAGGTTTGGCTTACAATAATAATAAAGAGACATAAAAGGTACCTAAGTAGTTATGAATCCAGAAGAAATGATGAGTTCCATTTGTCTTTTTTCATTCTATTCTACTAGGTCTTTGAAAATGATTGCTGGAACAGTAGATCATGATTAATGTTCCTAGAATTCTTTCATTTTTATTTACCAAAAGTAGTAAAACAAAACTTAGCTGTAGTTGGAGGTTAGTTATTGCTTAGGGCAGTTTCTGTCATGGAAGTTCTTGAGTTCTTCTGTCAGAAATTGTTATTTTTGTTAAAACACACACACACACACACACACACACACACACACACACACACACACACACACACACAGAGTGTGTGTGTCCTCTGTCACACTGGAAAAAGAGATGGTAGATTTCATTCATAAAGCATTAGAGAGAGAGAGAGAGAGAGAGTCCTCTGTCACACTGGAAAAAAAGATGGTAGATTTAATTCATAAAGCATCCAGGGAATGGGAGGAGAGGCAGAAGTACACGGAAAAGAGACCATTGCCTCCCACTCAGCTAGAAGGTTTGTGCAGCCTTCTGTAAATAGACCCTAATAACCCAAAAGCAGGTTGAACTACTTTAAACTGGAATGGCAAGAACTTTTAAGATACCATTACAGAAAAATGGTGCATTTCCAGTAATGAGAAGTTGGTTGCCTCTTGGTGCGAGAGACTATGGCTGAGGCTGCCCTCCCCACTGATATTTCTTGTACAGGCAAAATCTCCTTGCAGGCAGCCAGAAATAAAAAAAAGATGTGTTTTTATTTATAGTATTTCCTTCAACAGTGGAAATACAAATTGTACAATCAAACATTCTCATAATGCGTCTCGACAGGTCAGGGCATTGTCAAATCAGACCCCAGGAGAAGGCTGGCGCTGATTGTAAAGGAGTGAAGCAGGAGAACGCCAGTTAATGTGGAGCATGAAAATAAGAGCTGATGGATGCTGAAAAGACAAGTTGCTTGTGAAAAGGTCAGTGGAAGAATTGGCACCTGTGGGTAGGTTGCAGGCGGAAAGTCTTCCTGTAACTGAGCAGCTTCCAATCACCAAGCATCTTGGTCAATGTCAGCCGGCTCCATTTCAAAATGAGCTTTCATCATCTCATGCTGAGCTGCCGGTGTCCGTGGACAATAGGCATGGGCCCGCTCTGCATGAACAAATGGCTAAGTGGCGTCTGCTTGAAGTAATCCTTGTGACATTTCTTTCCCTGTGGAAAGGCTTTTGCCTGGCATGATCGGCCTGGGTTGCTTTGTGCTTATCCAGACCATGCCAAAGCAAATGAATGGCAGCCTCTCTGCATGGCAGCCAATGTGACATACAACTATGAGTAATAAAGTGCCTTCTAGTTGCCTTGACAACAGTTTAAAAGAACCACTTTGGCCTAGATCTTGTCAGCTGAGGCAAAACAGGGAACCCCACCTGTTCATCTGCACTGCCCATCCCACCCCCTTTGCTGGGGCCATCTAGAAGAGAAGCTTAAAAGACAGCAGAGTGAGCCCCCTTGGCTAATAATGTTCCCCCTGCCCTGTTGTCTCTTCCCCTCCTACTTGCTTCCTTTTGCCCTGCCATGTGCATCTGCCAGCTGCTTCTCACTATCTTCATTGACTTGCCAACTGCCCCAAGCAGCCAACCAGTTTTTAAACCTGTTTTAAAGCCTTCAAAAATAAATTTGCTCATAGTTATCACATGTTTGTGCCTCCTAAATATAGGGAAGTGATACTTTTATAAGATGTCCAGAGGACGAATACCTACCTATTTCCCCTGAAGACTGGCATTGTTAAAGATAAGCAGTGGAAAGCTCATAGCTTCTGAAATGTTATCTATGAAGCAGCCACAACAGCAGGCAGCCGCTGGAGCAGGTGTACACAAGAGGGGATGGGAAGGTGTGGAAGAGGGCTACCGAGAAAGGAAACTGCTCACATACAGTTGTTTCCTTATTCAACATAAGGGCACATGCAAATGTTTGCATGGGCATAATGCCCCAGTAGGATCCTTACTTCCACAATTTATCAAAATGATAACACTTACCATCTAGTGGTAGATGTCGTGTCTGTGTTCATAATACAAAGGCTTATTAGATGACCATCCATGCTGCTGTTCAAAATGTGGTTGCAAACTATTTTCAGTTACTTCCTGCTGTGGGTGGTCGACTTGTTTAGGACCAATGTTGAAATTCCTGTGGCTTTTCACTGGAACTCATGTGGCAAAGGCAGGTTATAAAGGAAGAAGGGATATCATTCCATTCATTTAGTAACCATTGTGTTTGACTGATGTATGCAACACTTAATGCTTGGGCTGCCTACCTTTCTGCCCTCAGGTTGGAAATCCAACTTGTTCTTGTTCAGTTCCATATGCTTTTAAACTGGCCATTAATCTTGTTAACTGTGTACAAAACTGCTTCATGACAAAGCTGTGGTCCTTTGGTGGAAGAAAAGTTTATATATATATAAACATTAAAAATAAAAATCTGATCAGTATTTTAGGGGATGGGGGAAAGACTATTAATTGCTTTATATACAGTATTTTGTCTGAAATTAATTCCACCTTTCAGGAAAACTGAAAGAGAATAATAAAATATTTTACTTCTGGTTTAAATTGCCTCTTTGTTTCTGAAGGGCACTGCTTTTAAGAGATGTCAGCTTGAATTCTGGAGAAACAGACTCATAAATAATATTCACAGTTCTTTCTTAGCTGTAATGGTAGTTGGTTTTCTTTAATCTTCTACGGTTGTTTTCACCCTGAATTTCCATCTGCTCCAGTGTACAGAACTAGGACCTAACTTAGCTGTTATATGTGGCTAAAATTACTGTCATTGGTTTGGAGTCCTTCTGTAAGTCAAGGCCAAATCTGTAGCAAGAGTGAAGTGAATGGCCAAGGAATGGTCCTGTTAAAGCTCACTATGTCCAGAAGAGCTTGGCCCAACAAAATTTTTCACTGCCCTGTAAGAAAAGTCTCTGGTTGCTATAGGTGCACAATCAAATATGTTGATTTGAACCTAACAAGCCGTAAATCACTGCTAGCTGTTATATATTTAAGATGCTCTCCTCAAAATGTTTTAAAAAGGGCATGACATAGTCTTTTGTCTACTAGACTGCCTCACTTTCCCCTGGTCTGAATCATCAGATGGACAAAGAACTGGGGGTGAGGGATAAATCCCACTTCTGCAGTCCTTCTCCATCCATTGTCGTGGGTCATTAACCGTGGTCTTTTGGGTGTGTGTTTTCGGGTGTGTGTTGTCCTGATCTTTCCTTTCTGTGGATGGATGAAAGGACAGCATGATAAATAGGAGACAGATTGTATCTAAGGCCTCCATGCCTGTTGAGTGAGAGATTTTCTATATGCACAGGAAAAGAGGTCCTATGCATGTTAATGACCCATGACAATGGGTGGAGAAGGACTGCAGAAGTGGGATTTTCACTCACCCCCCCTCGTCCTTTGTCCATCTAATGCACTTATTCAGACCCGGGGAGGGGGGAGGGAAGTGAAACCAAACTGGAGGATATATTAGGGGTCTCCTACCAACTCTCCTCAGAGTAAAGAAGCTACTTGAATGAGTAGCAAAACGTTTCAATCCAATTAGAAAGAAGGCCAGTTGTCATGACTTAGATTCCAGATCTCACCTGTATTGTGAAGTGATAGCATCTTCCCTTTCTGATTTTTGAACATTTGGATTGTGCCTTAGGAACACCAAACCTTGATTAGAAATGTGTGCAAAGGCATGCTCAATTTAACCTCACACTAATGGACCTTTTATGTTTCCTTCGTTTAAGGTTGCCATTTAATTGCAAGTTGCTATGACACTTGCCATTATTTGTTAATTGGTTGTTTAGATCAGTGGTTCTTAACCTTGGGTTACTCATGTGTTTTTGGACTGCAACTCCCAGAGGCCTTCACCAACAGCTGTGCTAGCTGGGATTTCTGGGAGTTGTAGTTCAAAAACACCTGAGTAACAAAGGTTAAGAACCACTGGTTTAGATATTTTTGTATGGATCAGTATCAAATACTTACTAATCCTGGAAGATTTTCTTCTTCTTCTTCTTTGATCTGTGTCTCAGGAATTGAATTTTTCCCCCTTCTACCTATAGACGTTTTAGATTTCCTTTATTTGTAATTATTATTTAATGGCAAGTTGCTAAGAGCTACTTTTGTTTGTTAACAAATCTCTAGCCTATGGTATGCACCATAAAATCTTGCTTTTATGATGCATGGAAGATTGGGCGAAGTGGGCATAAAGTTCAGTAGGCAACATCATAAACAAGCTGCCTATGATTTAAGATTTACAGCTGGAAAGAGCCAGGGCCTGTGCTGCTTGCCCACTCCCATGCCTGCCGGGAACATTAATAGCTGCCTTGAATCAATCAGCCGGTGCCTTGTACCATTTGCGCCATTCAGCACCCAGCAGCTGGGCTTGCCATGACTATGCTTGGCTGCCTGCCATCTATATGCCAGGCTTTGCTCCAATTGCAGTGATAGCTGAATTCCCTTTTCATGCAGTTTTCTGTTGATTTTTTTTACCTCCTGGCTTGTCCTTAGGATGCAAATCTCCAGCCTTCTCAGGCTGTTGATGTGATGCACTTCTGAGTTATTGGTTTGCATCATGACATGGTTTTATGGGACCTCCTGCTTTGTCTGGTGGTGCCAAAAAAAAAAAAGCTTTTCAGTGCTAGTAATCTGCCTGGATGATTTTTTTCAAAATAGTTCCACTAGGGTCTTGGGAAGAAGAAAATTTCAGACAAATTAAATGACTTTTGGTTTTGATTAGCTGCCAAAGTACACCCTATGACTTCAAAATCCATTTTAAGAAAACACTGATATTTCTATTTCCCCCTTCTCCTTTCAAACAATTCTTCTGTCTTATTGGTACAGTTTGATTTCTTTGCACATCTCTTCAGGCAGGCTGTTAACAAATATAACTAAATCCCTGAACCCTATTTTAGCAGATAATATTAATCCCCACTTCTGTTCTATTCCACAGAATACTACATCACTTCGAGTCACACACATGCAGTGGCAGGTGGGTGGAACAACAAATATCTAGTTAGATTTCTAATTAAGACTTATGCAAATTGGATTCTGATTGCCCATTGATTTCATAGTATGTAGATTTCATTGCTTCACTGCAAATCCATTTTGAACTTTTTCATTGATACAATCAAGTGTGGCTGTTTTAATATATCACCAGTAGAATCTCAGCCTATTGGAGTCGACAGTCACGCCTCATTGAGTGACAGAATACAATCCCATGGTCCAGACCCAGAGAGAAGGGCAAGTCTTAAAGGTACAACCTTGAGTCTGGAATTTTTACCCCATATTTTACTTTCCCCAAAAATAAAACAGTTCATTGGGCATCATTTAGTGAGAGAGGTTGTTCAAGAATGACTGTGTCAGCTCCTGGTCCATTTCATCCTTTCAGAGGTTAACCATGACTTCAGTTCAAGAAGACAGTCCAAACAGCTCTCATTCCTTTATTGTAACTGATAAACTCTGAAGCTGGGGCACCAGAAGAAAATTTACATGATCACACTATAGTTCTGTTCTAATCATCTGCAGGTACAAAGTTCAGCTTGCTATTCAAATCCCATTTACATTGCCTATCAAAAAAGGGTTTGGTTGGCTGAAGGAAGCTGGGCCTGAACTGGCTGTACTGTCAGCATTGATGGTAAGAAAAAAGAATAATAATAATGGATTCTTTTGATTATTGCCAGATAATTCCAGAACAACTTACATGGTCAACAGAAATATCGATATTTCTATTATCATACTGTGAGTTTAAGTGCACTCTGGAAGCCATCAGGTGCCATCAGCTTGTTCCAAGTGGAGAATTATTTTGGTTTTGACTTGACCATGGTGAATGTAAAAAAAAAAAAAAACCGGTGCCATCAGCTTGTTCCAAGTGGAGAATTATTTTGGTTTTGACTTGACCATGGTGAGTGTAAAAAAACAAACAAACAAAAAAAAAAACACCAAACTTTTCTATCTTAAACAACATTAATTTAATTCCTCTAAGCAGAGCTAGGTTTTGGAGACTCCATGAAGACAAAATAATAGCAGATTGCATCCAGAAAGCAGTTGAAGTTAGCCCAGCATAAGGTGACTTGAAGAAATACGCGGATGATCTCTTGACCATAATCTAAAATGCAGTTTTTTACTAGATAATACAACACCAGTGCCACATGGAAAGGGGTGAAGCAAATCAGAAATGTAGCCAGATTTGCCATGATTATGTAGACCGTCTTCCTCCTGACTGTGAGGGACTCCTTGGGTCTTTGGCTCCTATACAAACATATCATGATCTGAACTGTACAGAAGATCATAGCTGTCATACAGGAAAAAAAGGCAATCTCTAAGATGACAATTAAGGCTGTGTTTTTCCACATACTTCCAGAAAAGTTGTGGAAGCAGGATCTGGGACCATCATGTTTGTGCAGTTGGAGAGTACACGCAGTTCCTGCCCAGATCCCAGCTGAGATGACCGCACAAGTTATGACAGCTTTTGTAGGAGATCTCAAGGACACAGCTACGAATGGGTGCAGGATAGCAACATATCTATCGACACATATGCACAAGGAGATCAGGATGCTCCCATACATATTCACAAAGTACAAGCTTTCCAGGAATGAGCAAAAGGCATGGCCAAGATCCCACTTCTTATTCTGGTAGGAAATTATCTTAAAGGGAAGAGTAAAGAGCACCAATGTATCCAAAATTATAAGAGACACCATATAGATGACAGGCTCTGTGAACTGCCTGATCTTGTAGAATGCAAACCAGATAGCCATTCCATTGAGCAGCAATCCCAGGATAAATGTGGGGATGTATATAATAATCTGGAAAAGCTCGACATAGGGTTGAATTTTAGATAGGCAGGACTCGTCAGTGCTATTTTGAGTAGAACAATTGGATTGAAGGGTGCATGTCTCCATCTGTCTAGTCTCCTAATGAAGGAAGGAAGGAAGGGAAAAAGGGAGGGAGGGAGAGATGAAGGAAGGAAAATAGAAAAATAATAATCTTAGATACTGAAATGGGAAATTAGAAGAATACTTTCATTCCAGCAGCATTTTGAAAGTGTGGTTAATAAAACGCCACATTTTCAAGAGTTTTATTTGGTGAATTTAATGTTTCTATATCTATATTCTAGGTGCTTATATTAAAAATCAAAATGTCCTGTTGACTTTTGTTTCATCTCTTTTTCAGTATCCTATGACAAACTGTCAATTCACTGAGAATCATTGCCTTGAGAATCCCCACAGAGTCTCGAGAAATACTGTACAAGGTTGGGAACCTTACCGGTTCTTTAACTAAACATAACTTACTGTATGCTTATACAGAGAATGTGTCATAGAACAAGCAGTGACATAAGCTGGCTATTCAAAATTCACCAGAAACATGCATTTACAGGACAGCATGAGACAAGCTGTTTTATTTGAGTGTCAGACTATATGATACAGTTAACACAACATGACAAGTAGTGTTCTCTTGAAAAAAAGAGGTCTGTTTATCTCACCCCAAACTTTCTGCAGCAATGCATGTTCCAAATAAGCTTTCTTTAAGGTACTGGCTGGTCATTGAGAGTTAAACCTGGGTTCATCTGTTTCTTTTGTGAACTTTAAGAAATAGAACTTACCTATTACAGTGCTGCATATGGACACTTATACTTGCATAAGACATTCATGGAACACTCCTTCAGCTGAAGAGTCTCTCTCTCTCTCTCTTTCTCTCTCTCTCCCCCGCACCCACACACACACAACTCACCATGCCACAGCACTTAACCACTTGGAACTTGAAAGTGGAATGAGTAAGGTTTATCGCCATTTCAGCCACTGAGCTGTGGAAAGCCTCTATACTATGGATCTCAAAAGGCCTGATTGATGTTTGAAAGTCTTGGAATGAAGTGGGGTGGGCCACTATGGCCGATCTGGGACCAGCTGTTGGGAATCCTCCAGGCTGCGTGGGCCTCAAAAATGCCCCCAGAAGGAAGGGAAAATATTTCTGGAGGAAATATGTTGGTATTGACATGCAAGATTGGGGCACCCAGTAGGGTGTAGTGGATAGAATAATGGACAAGGACTTAGGATACTAGGGTTCAATTCCCCGACTCTGCCATGGAAACTCATTGGGATGTGAATCTGATAAAACCACTCCTTAAATGCCTCAATTACCTTGTAAACCTTATTAGGATTGCTATAAGTTAGTTCTCACTTTTCAACATATAACAATAACCTATGAGCAGTCTTCACTGGCTTACATTAATTAAAACTAAGTAGTCTTCAACCTTCATACGACTCTTGTTCATACTGAAATTAAGCGCTTCTGTAAGATTTAGTCTTGGATGTTTATTTGAACAGGGCTCCCTGTAATAACTATTGTATTTGAGAACTATTGCTGTAAGTAATCAGTTTTGCATGTATACTGATGTTTCTGTACATACATGTATATAACACAGAGAGACATACATAATGAGGATCTCTTAAGTTCTTACTTTAGTTTTATGTATATTCTGAGTGCAAACTTTTTTTTGGCAGTTCTAAATGTTTAAGGGTGTGTCATTTTGAGTGTTTTCTTTAATTTGGTAGTATTAAGCACATAAGGCGGCTGGATAGCTAAGAGAGTTCAGTATCTGGTTGCAGAGCCAAAGGCTGGGATTTTGATTCCACACTGTGCATCCCAGAAGAGCCAGCCTGTGTGGCCTTGAGCAAGCTGTACAGTCCTAGGATGCCCCCAGAAGAAGGGAATGGTAAACCACTTCTGCATATTGTCTCCACAGAAAATCCTGAAAAGAGTCACCATTAAGTCAGAATCAACTTGACATTATTAAGCACATATTCCTTCATACATACTGTACATAACAGGTTTTTACATAATTTTAAAATGAAAAGTAACTAACCATTGTCTGGTGTTTATGTAAAACAAAATTATAGGAATATGTCTTATATTTTGATTATATATCACTCCTACTATTTCATTTTCTATATATTTCTTTGGATAATTATAGCCTCTCAAAATACGATTGTTTGTGAATCATGTCAAACCCAGGAAAAATCTGTCCTCTCTGTTTTTACTTTGTTGCCAGTGGTGCGATCACTGTGTGTGTGTTTTTTTTTACAAAAGGATTTTTATGCTTGCACAATCAGATTAAATGAACTACCTCAAAACAAGACAACAAACTTCAGCCAAGCCATACAAAGAAAACTGAATGCAAAGCATATTCTAACTCTGCTGAACTTCTAGCCATAGAGGACTCCTTACAAAGCAAAGAACATACAGACTTACCATCAAATACATGCTGGAAAATTCTATTTACTTTAATAGGGTTTAACAATAAATTGCTCAGTTAGTTGGAGTGTGTGGCTGCCTTGCTTTCCTCTACAGGGTCCAGCTGAGATCACCTGGAGAATGGGTAGTTGATGAGGTTACATGGGTGGTCTTCGGCAATCTGCAGGGTGTCAGAGCCCTACAAGGAGAAACCGGTAATCCATTTCTAAGCATTTTATACCTAGAAAGCCCTGGGGCAGTTGTGATAAATCAGAATTGACCTGATGACACACAGCTATTTATAAACACAGCAGTACAGAAAAACATACTGATTTCTCTGTGTGTAACTGGGAATGCCTACCTCCCAGTTGGATAGTCAGCACAGTCAGCTTTGCCAGCTCTTCTCTGCTGTTCAGTAGGGCATAGGTAGAAGATGCAGCTCCTTCCAAGCAGGTGGTCATCATGATCAGAGTTGGCCATGTCAGCTACACATAGAACTCCTCATCTAGCCCTTGATACTGCAGGGAAGAGTACCTCCTTGAGCTCAGTGTCCCTGATCCAGTAAGAGATACAAGTGCATACACATACTTGTGTATGCTGGACACATCAAGTGCACACTTCATGGCTCATCTCCCTCTCCATTCCTTCTCCTGTCCATCACACGCTGCACCTGCACTTCTCAGGACTGGACTTTTATACCCAGTATCAAGGCCCTACATGTGGGGTTTCCTTGCTGGATGAAGGCACATGTCAACAAAGGTGGATAAAGATGTTAAAAGAAATTAAAAGTGGTATATAAGTGAGAAGCAGTATTGCTATATGCATCTCATTAAAGCTCATAACACTTACCACAACTTTTGTCTCCATAAGACAGCCAGAGAACATTGATGAAGTTCTTCTTTATAAAGCCTTTAATGCTTTTTCTGCAGATCAGGTGCTACAGCTGAAATTTAAATCCTTGCTTCCTCCAACTGGGGTGGCCACAACAAACGTGCACCTTAATTAGCTCTGTGTGGTTGTCTGAAAAATGCTACTGCACAGCTCTGCACCTTGTGAATATTGCCAACACGCACTGTCCAAACTTCCCTTCTGGTTTTACGACTGTTATAGTCACAGATCAATTTGCATATGGCTGTCTTAACCAGCTTTCATATTAGTCACTTTACATTATGCAGTATAATAGGTCTTAAATGAACAGAGAAAATGCTTTCTGCTGTGCGTCATTTACTTTGTTAGCAAGACACATAACAAGCTGCTCGGCTTGACTTTTATTAGCCAGCATGCTTGTTTAAAACCTCTCTGGAGACCATACTGTAGCATTAGTTCTCCTGCAAAGTTATACTGCATTCAACTGGAAGCAACAGTAATGGTAACCTATATCAGATATAATAATTGTGCAAGTCAATTCTGACTTACAGCAATCCTTTTCAAGGTTTCTCAGGTACTCAGAAGGTACCCTTCCCTTCTTATGGGGATGTGCTGGGACTGTGCAGCTTGCCCAAGGCCACACTGGCTGGCTTCACTCAGAAGAGGCATAGAGGGGAATTGAACTCTCAACCTCTGGCTATGCAGCGAGATACCTAAACCGCCTAGAGTGGTCTTAACCGACTAGATAGGCGGGATATAAATAAAATAAATAAATAATAATAATTAAATAATAAACAACTGAGCTATCCAGTAATCTGTGATGGACTTTTCTTCCAGAAATCTGCCCAATCCCCTTTTAAAGGTATCTAGGCCAGATGCTATCACCACATCCTGTGACAAGGAATTCCACAGAATGCTTGGTAAAGACATATTTTCTTTTGTCTGTTTTCACTCTCACAACACTCAATTGGAGTAGATGTCCCCTGGTTCTGGTATTGCATGGGAGGGAAAAGAGCTTCCCTCTATCCACTTTATCCATCCCCTGCATGATTCATACGTCTCAATCACGTCCCGCCTCAGGTGGCTTTTCTCTAGACTGAAGAGCCCCAAACGCTGTAGCTTTTCCTAAGGGAGATGCCCCAGCCCAGTCATTTTAGTCGCTCTCTTCTGCACCTTTCCCAGTTCCACTATGTCTTTTTTGAGGTGCGGCAACCAGAACTGAACCCAATATCCAGGTGCAGCCTTACCAGCATTTTGTCCAATGGCATTATTATGTTGGCTGTTTTATTTTCAATGCCCTTTTTAATGCTACCTAGCATGGAATTGGCCTTCTTCGCTGCCGCCACACACTGGGTTGACACTTTCAAGCTGTCCACCAGCACACCAAGATCTCTTTCCTGATCTGTCAGGGACAGCTCAGAACGTATCAGTTGATAAATAAAGTTTTGATTTTTTTGCCCCAATGTGCATTACTTTACATTTTCTTATATAAAAGAGAGCCTCAGGAGAAAAGTTCAAAATGTTTGATTTCAGGGAAATTGTTGCTGCTTTCATTAGTTTTATGCAGTGTTATGACAACAGGATTTCAGACAAATCCAATAGCAAAAAAACAAAAAGTTAAACAAGTCAATTCTGACTTACAGCAATCCTTTTCAAGGTTTCTCAGGTACTCGGGGTTTACCCTTCCCTTCTTATGGGGATGTGCTGGGACTGTGCAGCTTGCCCAAGGCCACACTGGCTGGCTTCACTCAGAAGAGGCATAGAGGGGAATTGAACTCTCAACCTCTGGCTATGCAGCGAGATACCTAAACCGCCTAGAGTGGTCTTAACCGACTAGATAGGCGGGATATAAATAAAATAAATAAATAATAATAATTAAATAATAAACAACTGAGCTATCCAGTAATCTGTGATGGACTTTTCTTCCAGAAATCTGCCCAATCCCCTTTTAAAGGTATCTAGGCCAGATGCTATCACCACATCCTGTGACAAGGAATTCCACAGAATGCTTGGTAAAGACATATTTTCTTTTGTCTGTTTTCACTCTCACAACACTCAATTGGAGTAGATGTCCCCTGGTTCTGGTATTGCATGGGAGGGAAAAGAGCTTCCCTCTATCCACTTTATCCATCCCCTGCATGATTCATACGTCTCAATCACGTCCCGCCTCAGGTGGCTTTTCTCTAGACTGAAGAGCCCCAAACGCTGTAGCTTTTCCTAAGGGACATGACCCAGCCCAGTCATCATTTTAGTCGCTCTCTTCTGCACCTTTTCCAGTTCCACTGTCTTTTTTGAGGTGCAGCAACCAGAACTGTACCCAATATCCAGGTGCAGCCTTACTAGCATTTTGGAGAATGGCATTATAATGTTGGCTGTTTTATTTTTCAATGCCCTTTTTAATACCTAGCATGGAGCTGGCCTTCTTCACTGCCGCCACACACTGGGTTGACACTTTCATCGAGCTGTCCACCAGCACGCCAAGATCTCTTTCCTGATCTGTCAGGGACAGCTCAGAACATATCAGTTGATAAATAAAGTTTTGATTTTTTTTTTTTGCCCCAATGTGCATTACTTTACATTTTCTTATATAAAAGAGAGCCTCAGGAGAAAAGTTGAAAATGTTTGATTTCAGGGAAATTGTTGCTAATTTCATCAGTTTAATGCAGTTACGAGAACAGGATTTCAGACAAATCCAAAAATAGCAAAAAACAAAAAACATTCCATAAATATTCTTCACATTAATCTTCACTTTTGTACGTAATTTATTGTACAATTGAAAGCCTCAGTTTATACCAATCTGGATGTGACCAAACACTAATCTCAGCATTAACTGAGGTGATCAGAATACTGTACCTTTTATGTAAAGACCACAAAGGACTCATGACTTGCTATTCATCTTCATAATAATGCTTCGCTGTTGCAAATCCTTATCTGGCAGTTTTGTATGTACAGTATTACTGTTTTAATTGCTTTAGTATGTTGGACTGATAGAATTGTCGTTTTACAAGTCTTTTTATGGACATGATGGACAGAACTCAGCTTCATGGCATCAACCCTAGTTAACTACAAGTATCATTACATCTGAGTAAAACCAAATTCTGAATATATAGACATAAATCATTGGATTCTAAGTCATTTAATTATTGAGACTGGGAATCCTTAGAAACACAAATGTGGAAAACTATTATTTGCTCTGAGTCTAATAAACAGAAGCTACAAATCTTTTACGTGAATCCAATTCTCTTGACAATAATCTGAAGTAATCATCACTTTTTAAACAGATAAAATTTATGGTTTGATAATTGATCCCCTCTACTACATTATGTGAGGTCTCCAATTCAGAACTCTCAAACATTAAAAGTTCATGTAGCATCCTAGATTGTCACACTACCTCCATCCTTGTGATCACTATTCTATTTACTTTACCATGTTACGTATAGCAGAATAAACTCTACTAACAAAACTATACATAATAGAATGAACTGTACTAATAGCTATCCAAGTGTGATGTAGGGGATGGTGTAATGGACTAGGACTCAAAAATTCTGGATCTCTCTAACAAAACTATACATAATAGAATGAACTATACTAATAGCTATCCAAGTGATGTAGGGGATGGTGTGATGGACTAGGACTCAAGAATTCTGGATCTGAATTCCTGTTCAGCCATGGAAACTTACTGGGGTATTGAACTGGTAAAACCACTTATCTACGTCCAATGCTTTATTTGGGTTGCTGCTATGACTTGATAGTACACAACCCCAGGTCCAGAAGACAGAAATGCCATTTCTACTTGATATAACCATTTGATTCCACTTTAATGGTCATAGATCTTCTATAGGTTTTAGCATCTCTAGTTTGAAGCAGAATTCTGTTGTGGTTTTAGTTGAGGACATGAGCTATTGGAGAACTCAGTATGTCATCAATCTGTAAACCCCATAGCTGTTAAAATGGAACCAAACTGTTTTAACTGCTAGTCTAACCCAGGGCTTCCCGGAACTGGGCCGTGGGTACAGATCTTCACCCCCCCTGCACACATGGTGGGCGTGTCATACTCATGCAGGGGACACCCCTGCAGCTCATTTCTGAATTCCTGTTCAGCCATGGAAACTTACTGGGGTACTGAACTGGTAAAACCACTTATCTACGTTCAATGCTTTATGTTACCTACCAAGATCACCATGGGTGCATGACTAGTATCTAAAAGTTCTGGGTCTCAGATGGCTAGCACTTCAGGAATGAAGGCATATTTTAATAATCATGTATCTTTTAGTTGAGGACATGAGCTATTGGAGAACTCAGTATGTCATCAATCTGTAAACCCCATAGCTGTTAAAATGGAACCAAACTGTTTTAACTGCTAGTCTAACCCAGGGCTTCCCGGAACTGGGCCGTGGGTACAGATCTTCACCCCCCCTGCACACATGGTGGGCGTGTCATACTCATGCAGGGGACACCCCTGCAGCTCATTTCCCCCCAAGCTGGTCCACAGCCCCAAAAAGGTTGGGGACCCCTGGTCTAATCTACACCAAACCTGTATGTTACAACTGATATCTGAAAGCCAATTTCAAGCAGCTGTAAGAGGTCAAGTTAGAAAATAGAAAAAAGTGGCTTCCGTGCTAACTGCGGACTACAAGCATATCCAAAGGGAATTTCTTTAAATGAAATCCAAGTTTAATTGTAATACTTATTTGTTAACATTATGTATAATTTGCAGATTATGCAAAACACCATTCCAACAAAATACAATATTTACATTAACATGGATATTAAGTATTTGGGTTCATGTATGTTAATATAGTGTTAACTTATATTACTCCATAATCATTAAATAAAATGCGGATACCATACTCGATACCAGATTTACTTGGTTCCTTTATATGACCCACCACATCCAAAGGTGAACTAGTTTTGTTTTATTCAATGTCCTTCAAGTAGGGCCTCATAGCTGCCAGTTATCTACCAAGATCACCATGGCTGCATGACTAGTATCTAAGTTCTGGTTCTCAGATGGCTAGCACTTCAGGAATGAAGGGATATTTTACATGTATTGTATCCAATGCACCCAACTATTTGTCTAACAGTGCAGAATTTTGGATGGTTTAACTGGAAGTAAATCTGAAGGTTATTCCTTAGCAAGCAGTCTTACAGCCTAAATTTGTAATCCCATGGTTTTACCAGAGTAAAACACTAAACATGAGGCTTACTTCCAAATCGCCACAGCACTGCACAGAAAGGTATTTTCAGTGACAATTCCTTTATGGATCCAGACTTTTTAGATAAAAATACTCATCTTTAGTTCAAGACTACACTCTCACAGAAAAAAAAATGACAGACCAAAATGATGACACACCCTTATTTGACT